TTCAGCAGGCATGGAAACAGGCTGTAGGTCTGTGTACAAAGGGTGAGTTAGTGGAAATCACATACAAATTGGGTAACTCCTTTCTCCCCTGTCTACATATCTGATTTTTTTTTTAAACAAGATTTATATTGTGTTTTTCTAGATGCACATGAAAAAGCTTTTTTGGCGGATAGTTTTTTCTGCTGCTGAGACTTAAGCTGTACTCTAGAAAGCAGGGCAGCATTCTTGAAATAGAAAATGCAAAGCTCCTTTTGAATGGCTCCTTTTATGTTGCATTTTAGACTCTATTAAGTGGTCTCGGGTGTTTGTTGGGAAAGTGTTTCGTCCTCAGAGTAATACTGAAAACTGGATCTTGTGCCTTCACAGATCTTAAAACCCGTGGGAGAACTTTTTTGTTTTGTTTTGTTGTTTCTCACCCTCCAATTTAGCTTTTACACAAAGTTTTAAAGTGCAAAGTTTGCAAGGTAGGAGTAGATCTCTCGTATTTCCTGGATGTCAATGGTATGACACCCAGTGGAGTATGAATTGCCTGTCTCCTGAGCTCTGAGGTCATTTCCCCCACCCATGTGGCAGCTTGTTTGCTCAGTGTTTCTCTCTACAGTACCCAGTCCTAACACAATAAATGTCTTATTGAATACCTAGTTCACTTAAGACCTGTGAATTTGGGTTAATTCTCTGGAAGGAAGCCCTGTTTTCAAGCAGCTAACTCCTAGTAATGGTGATTCACTCTTGTCTCTGGTTCCCACCAAGTAGAAATTTGATAGAAGAGTCAATCATTTTTATTTTTTTTGCCAGTGTTGTATTCCATATGTAATAAGGATTGAAATACAAACATAAGAATGTGGCAGTGGCAGGCTTGTGAGTCACCAGAAGCACTTAGTGAATTTTTCAGGTTGGGAAATGAAGTTGTTTATGATCTTTTGCCAGTGTTGACATAACGCTTAAGCTGTGAGGTAGACACACACAAGTGGAGTGGTGTATATGCAGATAAAGGTAAATTCTTAGTTTTAGATCCCTAAGCAGGGATTAGGCTAATCATAACAGTACAAATGTTTTCTCATTCGATAGAAATTATTCTATTTAGGAGGTAGAGGTAGCTCAGCTTGCCTGGTGCTTCATATACACCCATTTAACCTTAGCCAAGTGGCCTTTGGGGGATTAATTTGTCTGGTTTTCCCCAAAGATTAGACATTTGAATGATTTTTTTTTTCCCCTTCTGTTTTTTGTCACTGCCATCAACAGATGTTTAGAAGTTTTTGGGGTTCAGGGGAAGGGCAAAGAAATCCCAGCTATGCAAGCGGTCTTTGTCAATAAAGAAAAATGTGGAACATGTGGTTTTAGCTTGTTTTTTTTTCCTTTTCTGCTTTCTTTGCCCCTTTTTGAGGAGTTTTGGACCTCGGGGAACTCTGTCTGGCAAGAGCAGATGACTTGTGCCTTTGTGCCAGGGATGTTCACTTTGTGCACCTTTGGCCAGCTGCTGTTTGTGAAGCGAGCGATGGGAAGTGCTGAAGTGATACCAGCACAGAGTGCTTTGAAACACCACTTGGTTTAGAGGTGTCCTAGCCCACAGGTCTGCCAGGCCTGACTGATAGGCACGTGGGCAGCCCTGGTTGGTACATGCTAATTGCACTCAGTTTTACAGTACTGGTTGTCTTTTAAGTTTTTCATGTGGAGAGCTGTTACAAACAGGATTTCTCATGAGGCTTCACTGCTTTCTTAGGCTGCGTTCGAATGATTTTAATGGGGTTTTCCTTTTCTTTTCCAGAATGGTGAGCACACACAGAAGATGATCAGAAGGGTGTAAAAGTTGTGTTTGATTTGAGAGCTTCTAAGACTGCTCACGATGGAGAACCAGCAGATTGTCTTGAGTAGCCGGGACAGTGGGTCTGTGTCTGGTGCAGCCCCTGCTTTTTTTGTCATCCTGAAACAGCAGCAGGGCAACGGGAAGGCCGACCAGGGGATCCTGGTGGCCAACCGCGACGCCTGCGCGCTCGCCAGCAGCGTTTCCGCTCCCATGGAGTCCAAGGCCAGGACCTGCCTCCCGGCCGACTGCGTCTCGGGGGGCATCACCGTCACCCTGGACAACAACAGCATGTGGAACGAGTTCTACCACCGCAACACGGAGATGGTGCTGACCAAGCAGGGCAGGCGCATGTTCCCCTACTGCCGCTACTGGATCACGGGTCTGGACGCCTGCCAGAGGTACATCCTGGTCATGGACATCTCCCCCGTGGACAACCACCGCTACAAGTGGAACGGCCGTTGGTGGGAGCCCAGCGGGAAGGCAGAACCCCACGTTCTCGGGCGAGTGTTCATCCATCCAGAGTCCCCTTCCACTGGCCAGTACTGGATGCACCAGCCGGTGTCCTTCTACAAGCTCAAACTTACCAACAATACCCTGGACCAGGAGGGCCACATCATCCTTCATTCCATGCACCGTTACCTGCCACGGCTTCACTTGGTGCCCGCAGACAAAGCCACAGAAGTCATTCAGCTCAACGGCCCCGACGTCCATACTTTTACTTTCCCACAGACGGAGTTCTTCGCGGTTACAGCCTACCAGAACATCCAGATTACCCAGCTGAAAATAGATTACAATCCTTTTGCAAAAGGGTTCAGAGATGATGGGTTGAATAGTCGGCCTCAGCGCGATGTGAAACAGAACCGTAACTCAGGGTTGGAAGGAGGTGGAGTTTTTAGTGCTGCTAGTATTTGTGGTCGCCCCGCTGAAGCGGATGCGTTGGATTTACATCAGAGAAGTTTAGGTTCCTCTGTCAGCCATCAGAACCCAACAGACACTGATCTGCACAAAGAGTCCTTTAATGCAGAAAGGGACTTCCTGGGTTTCCTGGACACTGACCTGCCTTCGGATAACATGCCAAAGCTAAAACAAGAAGCCTCTGAAAGGTGGGTTAACGTTCTGGTTTTAGCACAGATACTGGGAGTGGGGTGTTTGGTAAAACATGAAATCATGGGGTGCTCGGTGTGCAGAGCTGCAGCTAAGTGTTGCCTGGCCTGAAATGGCAGAACACTTTAAATTTACTTAAAGCTTTTCTTTAAAACTTAAACAGGCACCTATTGGTCTGGACTTCCATCTGAGGAGTGTAAGAGTTCAGGTTTTTATCCCGTGTTGCTTAAACTCCCTTTGCAAAGAAGTGTTGAGGGATTTCCCTGAAGTCTCTCAGTATTTTAGAAGACTCATTTTTCAGAGCTTTAACCAGAGCACATTGCTTTCTTTTTGGGATTGCTTACCACAGAACCTGCTGCCTCTAGATCCTCAGAGTTCTTGAGCATGGGTTAGGACACGTGGTGTGCAGGGGTTGTTGCAAGGCGTTGTAACTGGCAGCGTGCCACTGTTTTGTCAACAACTGCTTGTGTGAATTCTTCTATTCCAGGAATTAGTACGAGGTAGCCTTAGCCTGCCTGTTGGTAGTCAAGTTACCTCGTGTTTGCTGTGGGGTAAGAGAACCTGCACCTGGGGGAAGTACTTCAGAATAACTTGTTATGCTGTTCAGACCATAATTTACTCTGTGGTAATTTTATGTCTCTGCCCTATCCAGTATTGACTTTTTGGAACCATTCTATTCAGTAAAGCAATCTGGTGTAAATCGAGACCCTACCCATAGCATGGAACCTGCTAACCAGTAAATGTTCATGTTCATCAGGAAATGCTGGTAAAGAAAGTTCAGTGAAACTTAATTCACTTACTGTTTCTGAAAATCTAAGTGATGGAATAGAGCAGGTTGAGTAAACAGTTAATTCACTAAAAGGAGGTTTCTCTTTTGCCATGTTTCTTCATATCTGTCTACAAATATCAAACTTAAATCTGCCAAAGTTCTGGTGACAAAAGCAGCCTTGCGTGGGTCAGTACAACAAGAAATTACTTAGCTGTAGGGTATCAGGATGATGTTAATGGTGTAATTAGAGGTCAGTTCTTGGAGGGAGGGGGAAGTTTGTTTTTAATGACATAATGATACAGTTTGTTTCAAAGGATGCATTACTGTACTGCTTTAGTGTTTTAGAGAGGACAGAGATTAGCTCTGTTGTTTCTTTCCTTGCAGGAAGTATCTCCTTGCCTTTTGAGTAACTGAAAAACTTCCAAGTTCCCTATTCTTTGAGACTTCATGGAGTGCAGCTGTAGTAATTCTTAAGAATGATAGAATTGTTTTGAAATCTAGAGTGTTCTGATCTTTCTTTTGTAGTACCTTGCAGTGTCATATTAACAACAAAAAAAGGACCAGGGAGAATCTCCATCCTCTATTGGATGTGAGGGGAAACACTATTGCTAAGGCTGAGGAAAAGGCTGAGGTACTGAATGCCTCCTTTGCCTCAGTCTTCAGTAGTATGTCCAGTTACCCTCATGGTATCCTGTCCCCTGAGCTGGGAAGAAAGGGATGGAGAAGAGAATGATCCCCTCATAGTCCAGGAGATAGCAGTGAAGGACCTGCTAAGCCAGTTGGACACCCACAAGGCCATGGGGCCAGATGAGATCCACCCAAGTGTGCTGAGGGAGCTGGTGGAGGACCTTGCCAAGCATCTCTCCATCAC